GTTTTTGGGTCATTGTCCTGCTGGAGAACCCACGACCTGACACAAAACAGCTCCATACTTGCTCCATTTTAAACTGGTTGAATGATCGATTGCCGGCCCCTGGGACTCATTATAGATGAGTTCAAGGTGAATACCCTGCTTGACATCCAAATCCATTTCTTGAATCTTCTAAAACAGTGTCAATAATACTGTCCAGGCCGTTTTGCTAGCTAGGATTCAGTATTGTTTTCAGCCTTTTTTCTTTTTTTCATTCTTCTGCAAACCCCAAAGAAATGCATATTGTGTGTGGATACCAAAATATGTTTTAATTTCCCTATTTTCTGTAAGAAATTATGTTTTAATTGGGGAAAAAATAGTGCCAATATTTTTTGGCCAGACTGTGAGTAGTAGCTAGCGTGGATACTGACCTCAGCACTGTGTGTTTTGGTAAGGAAAATATATGTTTTGTGTTTATACCTGGGATGAATTTTTATGTCATGGATGAATCCAGCAACACCAAGTGTAAAAAAAAAAAAAAAAAAAAAAAGACATCTGAATGTGAGACACTGAAACTACATGTGAGGCGTCACACTTCAAAAAGCAGGTGACATGTGCATATGTTTTGCAGGTTGTTTGCGTGCTTCAGCATGGCAGTATTAATATTTCTCCGCCATGCAGCAGCTGCTAATGTTTGGTATGTGTGTTTTGTAGATTTAATGCTCACAGTGATGGAGGCCTCCAGCTTCACTCCATCAGTGTACAGCGTACACGCACTCACACTGCTGGCCGAGGTAAAACACTCATGTCTCAGTGATTCAGCTCAGCCCTTCCTGCACAACTGTTGTTTCTCAGGCCATCAGTCAGTGGCTCTGCCAGTTATTTCCATTGTTTGTCTTGATTATGTCTCAAACTGTTCTCACTCACATTTAGCCTGTTGCTCTCAGGCACAGCCTTACAGTACACTAACACACTCCAGCTGAGCTCTTCTGACACCCTCCCGCCTCTACTTCAATTATTATTAGTGAACCAATAAATCAATCTGTTGGATGTAGTGTGGTGCTGTGAATGAGCTGAGCCGGACAATTGAAATAACTGGCCATCTTCTTCCGTCCTGGCTGTTTTAGCTCAGTGGGGGGGGGCTACATTTGATGATGATGCCTGTGCTTCACTGCTTTCAGCTTATAGATTAGTGGGTTTATTTATGGCAAAGAATCAGCAGAATGCTGCAGTGCGGTTTTGCATACTGTTGATTGGTGCAGTGATATACCGCCTTTTATTGTATATCATTTTTCACCCAAGGAATCATAGTAACTCAGTATTTATAGACAAATGCCTATTGTCTACTGTTATTTTGGAAAACATCACTCAATGTTGCAGTGCCTATGAAAGCGTATGGTGTAAGACTGACGTGAATGAATGCTTAATTTATTTGTCAGGTGCTGGCTCATCTGTTGGACATGGTGTTCTATAGTGATGAGAAGGAGCGGGTGATCCCACTGCTGGTTAATATCATGCACTATGTAGTGCCTTACCTTCGCAACCACAGGTGGGGATGAGCTTCTACTTTGTATTTTGTCAAACTTCTCTGAAATTAAAAATCTTAAATTTCACATTTGAAGGGCTTTAACCTAAAAATGGTTAAAAAAAAAAAAAAGTAAGTCTTTTTATGTGTGTAAATATGAAGGTGAAACCCATGACATGCAAGCAGATAAATAAAACAGATTTCTTCATGTTAGGGAGAGAGGAAGGATGAAGTGCAGTGAACTACCAAGTGTGTAAATGAGTTGTAGCTGATCATATGAATGTCATATACGTTTCCTGTTTCTCCTGCCAGTGCTCACAACGCCCCCAGCTACCGGGCCTGCATCCAACTGTTGAGCAGCCTAAGTGGATACCAGTACACCCGCCGTGCCTGGAAGAAGGAGGCCTTCGACCTCTTCATGGACCACACCTTCTTCCAGATGGACTCCTCCTGCGTCAGCCAGTGAGTAGGAGAGGAAAGTTGTGTGCGTGACCACTTTTACAGCTGGTGTTAAAATGTAGACCAAGTGATTACACTGAGAGAGAGAGAGAAAAACATGAGCTCAAAATATGAGATGCACATAAGATCCTTATACCTGAATCAGTTTCACAATTTAAAGGAGTAGTTCATCCCAATATGAGACTGTTTTGTAGAAACTCCATTGAAGTTGCTGGATCCACATAATGTGCACTGATATAGTTATTGTATCTTTTTCTTCCACACAATTGGGCCATATTTTCACATCTTCAAAAAATAATCTGTCCATTAACAGTTTGAGTATCAGAGTGTTTTTATAAAGTAAGAAATACACTGAGGACCTACAAGTCCAGTATTTACTTTGATTTATCTACCATATTTTTCTTAGGTGACTGTTGGTTTAATGCCTTATCACCACATCGAATACCGACAAGCCCCAAAGTCTAATTCACTCAGATTTACTGGAATGGGAAACAAGAGAGATAAAAAAAGTGCAGACTCCCGTTACCTTTGAGGCGCTTATAAAGTCCAGATGTTTTCATTCCTTGATTATTTAGATTCCTTGTTATCCGTAATTTTTCGTCGATCAAAAGCATCAAAACAGCTTTTAATAAAAATTAATCCAAGTTATGAATTCTGTCATGTGAAGTCCGTTGCTCACTGTCCGCTAACTTCTGCCACACTTTTCTCAGCATCCTGCACCTGTTGTTGAGTATGCTCGTTTTCATTAGCTTGCAGCCTTCATAATAAAAGTGCTTAAGCTGTCTGTCGGAGATGGATCAAATGATATAATGTTTTTTAGTAGGGACTGTGTAATATTCATACTGGTTGAAATGAACAGTTTGATATATTTCACATCTTTGCTGAGCAAGACTTTTGTGAGAAAGAAATTAAGGCCCGGGCTATTAATCAAAGTTTTATATTATGCAAATAGAAATAAATTTTCATTTACAAATCCAACCATAAAGTGTAATCAAACAAAAAGCTTGGCTACTGACATATTTGTTCAAGATGTATTAATACATACAGTATGTGCTCAAAGGAAGAAGCAAGACCATGTGTTTCTTGTCAGTAAAACAGCAGTCTGCCCTTTTGTTGAAAAGGTAAACATAACAACTCGGGTATATCAGAGATTGAAGATTTTAAAGTGCATACATTTACCTACATTTTCTATCAACTTATCTTGATGGCGTCAGTGGATAAGACTCATGCCTTTGGTGTGAAAGACCCGGGTTCAACTCCCCACTGTGACATGTCCACCAATGTGTCCCTGAGCAAGACGCTGAACCCCTCATTGCTCCAGAGGTGTGCATATATATAATTTTCTTCTTTTTTCAGCTGGAGAGCCATCATTGACCACTTGATGACTCATGACAAGACCACATTCAGAGACCTCATGAGTAAGCTTTAAGACTCTTTATTACCACTGGGTGTGAATACAGACCATTTACCAGATCATCTTTTTCTTTCTGACATTTGCAGGGCACTGAGTGTTTTCCCCTTTCATGAAAAGTGTCTTGCTAAAAACAAGCACTTACATTTTCACTCCAATTATGTTTGTAGACCAATTTAGCTGTGGAAATATGCCAATGTGCCATAGTTAAAGTCAAGTCAATTTTATTAATGTAGTCCATTGTCACAGAGCACAAATGTGCTTCAAAGTGCTTTACAGTCTGTACAGCATACCACACAGTTTATCCTATCCGAAGTCGGAGAAGGGGGAAAAACTGAAGAAACAGTTTAAAAACTGGCAGATGTGTAATATAATAATGACTGAGTGTATTTCCCTTTAGCCCGGGTGGCTGTAGCCCAGAGCAGCTCTCTGAGTCTGTTCACCAACAGAGACGCTGAGCTGGAGCAGAGAGCCATGCTGCTCAAACGCCTGGCTTTCACCATCTACAGCAGTGAAGTGGACCAGTACCAGAAATACCTGCCAGACATACAAGGTAAACGATACACACGTACAGTATACTTTATATGTACCACTGTTGTATACAGCTACTGTGAGCAGCAGCAGTTTACAACCTCACTGGGAGAGCTCATTTCCCACAACACCACAATTTCGGTTTATTTCAGCTTGCGTATTTCTCATAAATGTGGCCATTTTGAGTCAGTGGGTCACGCTAACTTCAGACTCGCCACCTCCTTTTTAGAGACTCAAGGAAATGAGGAGCTTTACAGCTTTCCAAATAAACATAATTATTACATGAATGATTTCAAATGCTTGTTTCTGAGTTTGACTGAAGGTAAACACAGACTGTGAAATAGACCTTATGCTAACTGCACAGGGATCTACATCTGGGTTTAACAGAGGTGGAAAGTAATGAATTACAGTTACTCACGTTACTGTAATTGAGTAGTTCTTTATGTACTTGTACTTTTTAAAGTATTTTTAAAAATGTTATTTTACTGTAACTTAAGTATGTTTTGTTTAAAGTATTGTAGTTCGCTACATTTTCAATCCCCTCCGTTATTGAGTAAAAAAAAAAAAAAAGTGCAAGGAAAAACTCGTAACCACTTTGTGGAGAGAACAGCTTTATCATGAAGCAGTGTAAGCTGTTAAAAAATGCTGTATTAAGTTACTGCTAATGCAAACTGAACATTTCCTGCTGCTCCAGCTTCACATTAAAAGCATTTAACTGGCAAAACACAAGTTGACTTTTTTTATTTTGAAGTAGTCACAGGAAGTGCAATCTGTTTGTAAGTGAGATTAGCGCTGACTGCTCTTATTCATCAAAAATGCGTCTACACAACAAGACAACAGTCATTTAACAGTTTTCTGACAGTGGACCAGTTTGTAATATTGCAGTGAGTAATGCAACAGTCAGGAGCAGACACAGTGAGCTGTTAGATAAAGAGCTGCATGTGACAGGTTGCACACCTCAACCTTCTCAGACAGGTAACAAACTCCTTTCACTTTAACTGTTCGCAGACTCATGTTGTGTGCAGCATAAAGTCAGATCTTGACTGCTCACATAATTATGGAAAATACCAATAACTGCCCAACAATAGTTTGTTTAGCTGCCCCAGACTTCTGTGCCCTGTGGTATTAAAATGTATCTGCTGTTACCACCAGTAACTACAGATGGCTCATGCACAATAACGGGCAGCTGCATAATAGCGTCAAAACCGGAGTTACATTTTACAATTACAGATTTTAACCATCACTCCTCAGTGAACTGCCTCCTTGGCTGCGGTCTGAGAGCATTTTCTAGTTAAGTAGGCCTCTCTAGTAGCCTATGTACATTTATCATTATGGATTTAGGCCTACCATGTTTTTTAGGAGTCTCTTCACACTGATATAAGCCAATAAAAACGTTCATTTTGCGAAATTTGAAAACATTAAACAAAAGTAATATGGCAATTATTTTTGAAAGTCCGGTTCTCACAGTGTCTGCTTAGAAATTTTCGTGCCCTTGAACAAATGTAGTTGAGGACCCCTGATGCAGAGGTCAGTTATAGCTAATAGCCTATTTCCATTGGTGGTTAAAAATAAGCTTTCATAGTTTGGTAAGATGCTTTTCTGCAAATAGCCAAACAGACAACGATGCATGACAGTGTTGGTTGGATTAGCAACTTGCTGGTAACTAGTTATTTATTATACTAACGCTTATGATATCCCGTTAAAATTACCTCCTGTTTGAATGTAAATAGAGATATGACTTCATATACAGTCCAGTGTTTCCCGTTTTCCCAATCCAGTGTGTCCAGAGTCTAATCTGTTCCACCACAGTTTCATTGTAACATAGAATGTTAATGTTTTTTGCCACTGATTTGGAAAAGTATCTGTCAAACAAACTAAAATTGAAAGCGCCATATGGCTTTTTTTCCTTATCAAATCACAAAAGACTGCAATTTAATTAAATAATTATAACAAGTATAAATGAGATATTAAATCAATAAAAATAAGCCATTTTAGGACTAAAGTAACTAAGTAACTTTTACTGAGTAAATTTTAAATGAGCTACTTTTTTACTTTTACTTGAGTAGATTTTTATACTTGTAATTTTACTTGTTCATCAAAGTAATTGTACTTTTACTTAAGTAGAATATTTTTGTACTCTTTCCACCTCTGGGGTTTATTAACCTGCATGTTTTACCATATGTTCCCAAAGCAGATACTTACTGTACGTGTGTTTGTGTGTTCAGAGCGTCTGGTGGAGAGCCTGCGTCTACCTCAGGTGCCCATCCTCCACGCTCAGGTGTTCCTGTTCTTTAGAGTGCTGCTGCTGCGCATGTCACCTCAACACCTCACCTCACTGTGGCCCACCATGATCACTGAACTGGTGAGAAGCAGTCGTTGGCTACAGGCTTCTTTTTTTTGTTTGTTTTGCTCACTTAACTGCATCCTTGATGTGTTTCTTTCTTTCAGTCCTCCACATATCTACCAACTCACACACACTCATTCATACACTCTACATCTGTCTCCCTGCAGGTTCAGGTGTTTCTTCTGATGGAGCAGGAGCTAACAGCAGATGAGGACATATCAAGGTACATTATCTGTTGATATTGCAAACTGGATCATAGCAGAAAATGAACATCATAAATGACTTCTTCCTGTATTCCAATGATTGTTTATCCTCTAATGTCCATCTCTAGGACATCAGGGCCGTCTGTGGCTGGGTTGGAGACCACCTATTCTGGTGGGAATGGCTTCTCCACCTCCTACAACAGCCAGCGCTGGCTCAACCTCTACCTTTCAGCCTGCAAGCTCCTGGACCTGGCCTTGGCCCTGCCTCCTGAGAGCCTGCCTCAGTTCCAGATGTCAGTACAGACAAGCCTGAGTCATAATAGCCTTTGCACGTTTGCCTGTCACTGAATAGATGAATACAGCAAGGATCATTTGCAATGATGAAGAATAACTCAGAATGTCTCAGTATGTGAAGTGCATATGAATAAGTTATTTGGAAATTGTGTTATATCTGAGAAAGTCCTGCCTCATTACAGGTACCGCTGGGCCTTCATCCCAGAGGCTTCCGATGATTCAGGATTGGAAGTGAGACGTCAGGGGACTCACCAGAGAGAGTTTAAACCTTACGTGGTTCGATTAGTCAAGCTGCTGAGGAAACGAGCCAAGGTATCTCATCCTCCCTCTGTATATGCAAGGTTGTTGAATGATGGAGACAAATGGCTGCTTCTTACAAAGAGGATGTTCAGGGATACGATCATTAAACGCTTTTTTGCAAGTTGTAGCCTATTTCATTCATGCTGCGTTGTCCCCCACCTGTAGGATGGCAGGTTCATTTTTTCCATTTGTGTAATTTGTAATCCATTTCCCTCTCCCATAGAAAAACCCAGAGGAGGACTGCTCCACCCGAGCCCTGTCCTGGGAGCCAGGTCACCTGATGCTGACCCTCTACGTGATCCGCAGCATGGAGCAGCTGCTACCCTTCTTTAACCTGCTCAGCCAGGTATTCAACAGCAAGGCCAGCAGTCGCTCAGGTCCCACCTACACACACAACCTTGCAGGCGCTTCCTTCCCCGGGCACAAGGAGGGCCACAAACTGGAGAGCCAGAAAGTCTTCTGGAGTCGAGCTCGACAGGACATCGAGGAGATGGTGGAAAAAGACTTTTTAGAGGGCCTTATCAAGACGTGAGAATACAGCAAAGGAAGGGAGCGGGATTAACACATAACTGATCAACACTAGTGAAAAACCTCAACTTGTACATTAAAGAACAAGGGAATGAGGGAAATTGTTTGTACATTTTTTTGTATTTATAATGATTATTTTACTTTTCAAAAGCTATTGTATTTAATTTTAATTATTTGTATATATGGAGCATCTTTGATGACTGACTCTTAACATTTCATGTGAGTGCTTTTGGACAAAGTGAAGATGCTGTGCCATTCCATATCGATGTGACTTAATAAAGATTTTTAATGGGAGGGTTACAAGCACTCTGTCATTTAAAATGCATTTACACTATGTTCCCGTCACAATATATCCTGAGCTCAAACAAATTCTAGACCTGTAATTTTACTAGCTCCATTTGTAAATTGTGAAGTGAAGCAAAATAGCAATTCACACTATCCTGAACTGGAACCTCCATAAAGATTCACACTGATAGAACTTCACAAACGTTATCACATATTGTGTGGCTGCATTGTCAAGTGTTGCATCGTATTGATTATTTTGTCCACCCATTTATGTCAATGAGGGCAGGCTAAATAACAGAAACAGCTCTCTGTATAATGAAACACAATTCAGCAGCACAATGAAGTGCAGACTCCAAAATAATCATAAAGTTGAATCAACACCTCTAAAACAGTTTTAACAAAAATTGATTATAAACTTCATGAAGGTAGGACTGAGTATTTATACACTGTTGTATTGATACTTGGTAAATTATCTGAGTACTTCCACTACTAGTGAACCAGTGAGTAGTAGGCTTATGTCAAACAATTAACTCAGAGGAGAGCAGCACAATAGCACCATGGACAGAGACAAAGCCAGGCGCCTCTTTGGTCTATGGTCCTCACTGGTTGCAGTTTTAAATTCTTTTTTGTGTGCATGCTTGATCAAAGAGACAGTGTAAACTGAGGCAGCACGCTTTATATGACCTTCATGGTATGGTAGCAGCCCAATAAGAATCAAGCTTGTTTGTAGAGAAGCTTTATTAACCGTTTACCCATCCCACTCCCAGCTCTCGCGATGAAAGATACGTCAGCAGGGTTGTAATACTGCGTCACCTGACTCAGAGGAGGGGGGCGGGGCGTGGTCAGAAATAAAAAATATTAATAATTAAATAAACAAGAGGATGTAATTCCTCTGAGAACACCGCCATCCAACGACCCGGGTCGAAGCGCGCATCTCCGGGGCTTGCAGGCTGACGGTGGGCCGAGGCAGAGAGGAGGCGTCCAGCTGGGGAGGAGGAGGAAAAACCGCTGCACTGGATGGTGGGGGATGATGATGCTAGCGAGGGTCTGATGTTCCCCTGCACGCCCCGCTGATACACTGTGACTGTGGGACTGGTGGTGAGGATTATCCAGGAGGCTGGAGGAAGGAAGACAGGGAGGGGGGAGGTTAGCAACGAGCATCATCCGGAGAGGACCGTTTTGCCAGGGAAGCTGGCCGACAAATAACGCGGAACAGTAAGAAATTGGACTTTGAAGTTGGATGTTTAGACTGTCATTTTCAAAGGATACTGACCTCCAAGGAAGAAAGTCAGTTCGTGAATATTCCAGAAACGCGTGCAGATCCAACACAACTGAGTGGGAATCAGAAAATCCCAGTAGGGTTATGCAACTCTAATCAATTGCAGTTCTATAGAAAGTGTCCTACTATTTCTTCCCTAGTGCTGTCTTTCTGTAGTGTTTTCGAGGGCAACTGGGATTACTGAGGCTGGTCGTTCATTACGGTGTTTGGGGGGGGATTGGACCATATTGGACGCTTGATAGTCGAGGTTGGGCTCCACGGAGAGAAGATGTCGGGGCAGACGCTGACAGACCGCATCGCCGCGGCGCAGTACAGCCTGACTGGATCCGAGGTGTCCCGAGCTGTGTGTAAAGCCACCACACATGAACAGACAGCTCCAAAGAAAAAGCACATGGAATGTGAGTTGTCTATCTATCTATCTATCTATCTATCTATCTATCTATCTATCTATCTATCTATCTATCTATATATCTATCTATCTATCTATCTATCTATCTGGCCTACTGAATGTGTCCTTTTGACCCTCCATCCATCCCACTAATGTACAACTAGGCCACCACCAGAT